AAGAAGTCAAAGAAGCACTTTTTATGATGCATCCTACAAAGTCTTCAGGACCAGATGGCATGACTGCCTTGTTTTTTCAAACATCATGGAATATTATCAAAAGCGCGGTAGTGCACTAAGTGAATCAATTTTTTCAATCAGGGACTTTGGATAAGCGTTTAAACCAGACTAATATCTGCCTCATCCCAAAGACGGAACGACCAATTAGAATGACGGACTTACGTCCCATAAGTCTGTGCAATATAGGGTATAAGATAATATCAAAAGTCTTATGTCAACGGTTGCGACAATTATTACCAAAGCTGGTATCAGAGACACAATCGGCCTTTGTGTCAGGAAGGCTTATTTCGGACAATATTCTAATTGCACAGGAAATGTTCCATGCGTTACGGACTAATAAGTCTTGTAAAAAACAATTTATGGCTGTCAAAACAGATATGAGTAAGGCATATGATCGGGTGGAATGGCCTTTTATTAAACAAATACTCTTGAAATTGGGTTTTGCGGAGAAATGGGTCAATTGGATCATGTGTTGCGTGGAGACAGTTAAATATAGAGTGCTTATAAATGGGAGCCCAAAAGGATACATAAATACAAAAAGAGGACTAAGACAGGGTGACCCATTATCGCCTTACCTTTTCATCCTCTGCACAGAAGTATTGATTGCTAATCTGAAGCGAGCGGAAAAGAATAGGCTTTTAACGGGGTTGAGGATTGCACGAGCGAGCCCAACGGTATCACATTTGTTCTTTGCAGATGACAGTATTTTCTTCTGTAAGGCCACAAAAGAGGAGGCAGATGTACTTTTACACCTCTTGAAGCAATACGGACTAGCCTCGGGGCAACAAATAAATTTTACAAAATCATCAGTTCAATTTGGTCACAAGGTCTCACTAGAGACACGGGAGCTGGTACACAATAAGTTAGGTATTACTAATACTGGGGGGATGGGTTCTTATTTGGGGATTCCAGAGAGTGTGGGAGGGGCTAAAACAAAGGTTTTTAACTTTCTTCTAGAAAGACAAAGAAAGCGGGTAAATGGATGGACATCTAAGCTGCTATCTAGAGGAGGGAAAGAAGTACTCATTAAGTCAGTACTCACAGCAGTTCTGACATATACTATGTCTTGCTTCAGACTACCCCAAACTATTATCACTCAGCTTACAAGTACCATAGCCAAGTTTTGGTGGAGCTCAAACGGACAAACAAGAGGAATGCACTGGATGGCCTGGAATAAGTTATGTAAATCAAAGCATGAAGGAGGACTTGGATTTCGGGTGGTTAAGGACTTTAACACAGCACTATTGGCGAAACAGCTATGGAGACTCATAGACTACCCAGGATCGTTATTTGCAAGAGTGTTTAAAGAGAGATATTTTAGGGATGGCACACCTCTGGACCCGATAAGATCATATGCCTCGTCGTATGGATGGAAAAGTATCATAACAGCTAGATCTTTGGTACAAAAAGGGCTTATCAAAAGAGTTGGATCAGGACATTCTATCTCGGTATGGAATGATCCATGGATTCCAACATCACGCCCGAGATCAGCAATTTGCAAAGGGTTTAACATATACCCGGAGCTAACAGTCAATCAGCTGATTGATCCTGTAACCTCAACGTGGGATATTCCACTACTTGAACAATTGATAGTACCAGAAGATATTCCCCTGATCACTGGAATGGCAACAACACGGGAACAACGGAAAGACAGATGGGGCTGGAATTTTACAAAGACAGGAAGGTACACTGTCAAATCGGGGTACTTGACAGAACAATTGTGTCCTGATAAGGAACTTTCAAGAGTTTATGGACCAGATATCAGCCAATTACAGGCCAAGGTTTGGACAATTAAGTGCCCACCAAAACTAAAACACTTTATGTGGCAAGCACTTTCTGACTGTTTGGCAGTGACAGCACGACTACATGCTAGAGGTATAAATTGCGACCCCCGATGTAGTCGTTGTTTGGCGGGAAAGGAAACTATAAACCATACTCTATTCGAATGTCCCCCGAGTTTTCAGGTGTGGGCGCTTTTGCCAATACCTACACCATTACATCTTTTCCTAATGGAAGCATTGTATTCAAATATGGCACACTTGTTTTGGAATTTGCCAGATCAGGAGGATATGATGATGTACCCTTGGCTATTGTGGTATATTTGGAAAATGAGGAATGACAAGATTTTTAAAAACATTGATCGGGACCCCCGAGATGTTGTCAGGATGGCAATGGCAGAAGCAAATGCCTGGGCCGAGGCACAAAAACAAGATATAACGGGTGAAGTCTCACTTCCACTTCAAAACGAGAGTTACTCCAGGGAGGGTATCCTCTGTTACACTGACGGGTCATGGAAAGAGGATGCCCCAAACACAGGGTTAGGCTGGTTTAGCAAAGATGTAAATCCGTCGTCTACATTAATGGGGGCTCGAAAATTGGGTAAGAGTTTGTCACCTCTACATACAGAGCTAGAGGCACTTATTTGGGCAATGCATTGTATGCTCGATGTTGGACGATACTCAGTGTCCTTTTTTACGGATAGTTTGGAATTACTGAAGATGGTGACGGACCCAGAAGGATGGCCAGCATTCTCACTACATCTAGAGGAATATGAAGTGACTAGACAGGAGTTTGCTCGTTTCTCCATCTCGAAGATCCCACGCGCGCAGAACACGAATGCGGACAAGTTAGCACGAAGTGCTAGAAATCACCCTTTCCATCTTTGTTATGTAAACTCAACACCTCCTACATGGTTATCACCATTTTAGGATAATTGTTGAAGCTGTTGACAAAAAAAAAAAAAAAAAAAAAAAAAAACTTGATTTCTATTAATATGAAGAATCACAACAATAACAGTTTAGAGACGTAAAACAAAAACGATGTTTTGGAGTTTTTACATATATTAAGAAAGTATATTACATTTTGATAATAAATGTATTATGTTGTGATTGATAGTTTTCTATAAATTTAAGCCAATAGTAATTTAGTAAATTGAATTAATTTTCTTGAAATTTACAATTTATCATTATTAACTCATAAAAATGCATAAAAAACTTAAAATATCTATCTATTTGAAATAAAATAAATTTTGGAATATCCTTTTTTAATATCTATGAATATTCTTTTTGTATTCACTTGAAAGTAAATGTATATCTAAAGATATCTTAGTCATTTTCGGTACATCTATTAAACGTAGACAAGAAAACTTCTGCAGACATTTTTTTCTGTTTAACAAATTGAGATATTATAAACACCATTATACTCAGCATATGAATATTTTGATTATGTTCATAAATATTACAGCTAAATTAATCTATTATTGTCAGAAGGTAGAATACGTTAGTTTGACCGGGACATATATCCTTAGAATTTGTACTTTACCATTTGAATGTTGAGTTTAGCTACAGAGTAGTGACATATACCTATTCTTCTTCTTTTGTATTAATGTTGGTTACGGTAATGTTAGCTTGCGTGACAGAGAAAAAGTAACGGACAAAACTTGCACATAATTGGAGAGTTTTGAGATGAACAGGCACGTGTTCGTGTCTCTCCGAAACAACCCACCTTTCCTTGTATCCCGAAGTCAAAATAATAGAAAGAGTAATTTCAAAGAACAAAGAGACGACAAAAACTATATTAAATTTGAACGGACTTATTTTAATTCACTTATAGGTAGATACATCATGAAACTTCGACGAATCCAGTTGCTTAATTGTCATTGCATGCGAATTGCGTATTGCGTAGTGCAAACATTCTGGAAAAGTAATATATGCGCAAATTACAAGGATTAGATAGGTCAGCAGCAGTGTGACGTGTTGGATTGAGTAAAAAACTTGTTCGGCTAAACAGAGAGTATAACATCGAAAATAGGTTGATATATATTATAAAATGTTAAATACAATTATACGTTAATCATCTTTCTTATTTCATATGAGATGTATAAATTAAATCATAGTTTTAGATATTGTGGTAGAGGTCATATATAACCATGCATGGATGTAAATGACAAATGAAAAGCGAAATGAGTGATACAAAGATTGAGCTAAAAACAAAAAGAGAAAGATAATGTTTGTAGGTCCTATGGATGCATTATTTAACCATCCGATGCATGGAATCTAAGCTGAAAGAATCTGCACCAACATTATCATCGGGCCACCAATCTCCATCCCAAAAATAAGGCTATTTTCAGCCAGCATTATCATCAGACCAAACCTAACTAAATTATTTTCCAAAGATAAACACATATTTACTTGGTTTTGTCCCCAAAAAACCGGTGGTGTAGTACAAAATTTCGACTGCATTGCAAAATCCTAAACCGGTGGGTGTGTACTGTGAGACAAAGGGACTGATATATAACAGATGGAACAATGATGAAGGCAATCAGTGGAACAACCTAACTGCTTATCCATCTGAATGTGGGACCCATTTAAAGTTTTAAATCTATGTACATATGTCTTTTCTTCAGTTCCCAACTCCAACGACCTTCCTTCGGCCCTAATCCAACCAAATTCCTACATATAATAATGTTCCTTTCAATTTATTTATAATATTATCCTTCAAAATATCTTATATGCACTACAATTGTGTTCGTGGATGCTTAATCAACGTGTTTTAAAATAATTAATTAACTGAATCAAAAGGTGAGAAAGATTAAGATAAGCAATATGATGCTTTGCACCTGTGTGGATCACTGGATGACTCCATATCCGTTCATAGATTTAAGAGATTTTATGGGCATTACGGATTCTTCTGCGTAACGTGACTAGATTTTTCAATAACTTTGGTTTACTTCTGTACTTTGTAATCATCCATAAATAGTTAAATTTCTTTTTAAAATAAAGATAAATATATTTGATATTTTATCTAACCGAATCTAGTGTGGAATTTAAACCGCATCAAACCAACCAACTCAACACCGGTTACTTTCTTAACAGAGAAACCTAAGCAAGCATAGACTGAACATTATTCTAACATCAAATCAAAATGTGTTGATTTTACATATGAAAGTTTATTATTCACTAACAACACATGATACAGACTTGGATTCTAGACTTAGTATTAATTAGGAAAAAACTTTTTAATCAAAAATATATCAGGATGATCACTTGAAGACACTATTTTAACAATGGAGATCGTGTAACGGTCACTAAACATTTGTGTGTTTTTCTCGGGAAAAGAAAACATTCTTGAAAATAATGCTACTCTGTCTCAATATATCTACATCCAAGTTCGAACCTGATAGAAATTAAAGAATTAATTAACGAAACATCTTATCCAAATTCTTGAACTGGAACTACATATGGAGAGTTCCAATCAGCATCAAAGATATCCTGAAGCTTCAACACAATCTTGGTGTTGTAAGTGCCAAAGCTCACACCACTTGTCGCAAAGAAGTAATCCCAAACGAGATTGCTGGTCCCTATGTGAGCTCTCACGTCGCTGACCACATATTTCCCGTGATTCACCCTCGTGTAATCTGGATACCGGTTTCCGGTTCTAGTCCCGTTTCTAACCGCAGGTCCTGTCTTGTTAAAACCAGGAACCATGTAGTATCTGATCTCCACTTGGCCAAAACATTTGCTTTGCACAGAGGAAGAGGAGCAAAGAACATTGGAGTAGAGCAACGATCTCAAGTATCCATCAGTGGCCTCAATGAAATGACCCCAATATGCTACTAGAATCTTCACTTTGGCATTCTTGGCGAACACGACCTGCCATTTCAGTATACATGTATCTCAAATTCTGGCGTTTTAGGCGAGTAAGATCATCAAGAAAATGTAAGTAAATACCTCTGAAACCGCGGAAGAAAGGGATGACCAGTAAACCTTAGGATTAGTGTATTGAGACTGACCAAGCCAATCCATTGTATTGATCCTCACTGTTCCTCCTTCCACTACAGATTTGATTGTATCTACCCATCCTTGTTCATCAGATTGATGCTTTCCAAACAAAAGCTACATAATTCGAAAAGCCAAAACCATATCATAAATAATATCAAAAAGGTCTGAAATGTTCTTAAAAGTCTCATTGCTTTTTTCACCTCTGGTGGTGCAAAAGACAGATAGCTTCGTTGCGGTTCTGGACAAGAATGGTTTATAGAGAGAGCACTTTCTATGTCGATTCTATACATCTCAGGATCAGATAGTGAAGGATAACCTTGTGAAACATTAGGTGTCTCTATGTAATTTGGAAGAGGTGACCTGAAAAAGAAGAAACAATTGCTGCAAAAATAAGAAGAACGAAGTATCTTTTTTTATGGTTTAGTGTCAACTTCTTAAATCCATTTACCTGCATCTTGCTGTGTTAGGTATAAAATGGGACCAGCAAGGAACAGTTCTATTGATCAGCCATTGTTGATCTGATACATTTCTTGTATGAACTGAAGAGTCGAGAGAAGCTAATCTCCACAAGTTATCGAAATAAGTCTTAATATTTCTGGCAATTTGCGAACACCCACTTAGGTAAATCCCAACTTCTTTCACCTGGCAAAATCAAAACAGCTGATTCATTGCAGCCAATGTTTCTATATCGATTTCAATGTGGTATGTATACTCAAGACATGCCTGAGTTAGAGATTTCCAGTCATTGTTTGCAGATCCGATATACACATCACGATCATCCGAAATCCAAACCTTGGCATGAACAATCCCTGAGCCCCACCATTTGCTTAGTAACAAAGTCACATTCTTGACGTTTGATCTTCCAGAAGCAAGATCAGATGGTTCTTTGGTATACTCTGGGTATACCCCTGAATGAGACATCAGTCTATATATCCACAATCATTTACCATTCAAAATGAAAAAAAGTTCATACTTTTTAATGTGAAATCTAATAAATTTTCTTGATTTCTCAATAATACTCAAAACGATTGCATCCAAGAAACGATCTTAACTATGGAAGATTTGTATTCAGACCAAGAAAATGTGCTTTTGTACTAATTTACCTTATACTAACATTCCGGTTAGCAGCATTATCAATGGATTTGTAAACTAGAGAACCAATATGAGCTCCAAGTTGCTGTAAGTCTGAATCTGAATAACCGAAATCTCCCGAGCGAGGATCCTTTGGGCTAGCAAGAAGCTGCCAATACTGTGCAATGATGTCCAGTGATCTTGTTGAATTGTTTGCTAGCCACTGAAACACATCCCCTGCACACCAAACATATCTGTTTTCGAAACAAGTACACAAAAACAGAGCTAAAATAGCCTAACTGAATTACGCAAACTTTTTTCCTAGGAAGAAAGAAAAACAGAGCTAAGATAGAAAAACAGAGGAAACAAGGCTCAATATAAAAAAATAGTTTTGAAAGTACCCAAAAAAAAAAAAAAAAAATCAGTCAAGACTTTATCTGAAAACAAGCAACAAAATGATTCGACAGAATTCTTGCAGGAAACTGTTTACCAAAAATCCAGAAATTTCTAAAGCCGCGTATCACACAAAACAGAGCAAAGAGTAATAATAAAACAGTTCTTGTGCCCAGATTTTATCGGGAGATAGTGAAGAACCTGTGGAGAGTACGCCGGAGATGCGAGGAAGCTCGGGCATGTCCGTGGGGATGGATAGAACCAGCCAAGCTTTGCATCGAGCCGAAGATTCTACGACACGTGGCAGGTGGAGGCAAGCTAGAAGCAAAACGACGGCGTATAGAAGTACTCTCTTCATCCTCCTGCTTTTAGTGCTGGTGCAGGGGGATATGCAGGGATTCAGCTGCAGCACTGTAAATCCTTGTTTTTATTAGGAAATAATATTCTTGATTAATTAAAGGGAATTAAATACGGAATGATTTTCTTTTACCAAAAAAGAAAGAAAATGGATTGGACATAATTATGATCTGTTGCGATCGTGAGCATACGTGATATACTATATAATAGTATGGGCTTATAAAAATGTGGGCCATTCAGTTATTCTTGTGGCATTTCAACGAAACACACGTGGCTGAATATATAAATTGAGAAGGATGATGTTACAGAAATACACTTTCTTCTTCTTCTTCTTCTTCTTCTTCTTCTTCTTCTTCTTCTGTGGAACCATCATGGCTGATTTTCGGAGCAGAAGGCAAAATTTTGGATCTGTGATTGCTGCGATTCTTCTGATCTTCATCCATGGTGCTCACTCTTTCTATCTCCCATGTATCGCTTCTCAGGAATTGGAAAAAGGTATCGTTTCAATTTCCCATTTTTTTTTTTTAATTTCCCATATTATCTCTTGGGATCTGATTTAAAATCCTTGTTCTGATGCACCGACATTTTAAAAAAAAAAATCTCGAAAGGATGTGTATATTTTTCGCCTTCTTCTCGAATTCGTAAATCTCCTGATCTCTACAATGTCACAATTCAACAGAAGCTTCATCAATATCTACTATTCAAAATAAAGTTGCGAGGTACTACGCATTTTGCATGCATGTTTGATTAGAATCTTGGAAAATTGCAATATTTTTTTTAAGCTAAACAAGGTTATCAATTTCTCTGCATTTCTGAAAAAAAAATCATATAGTAGAGCCTACATTTTTAGAATACATCTTCTTTATTGCGAGTTTGATTTGGAAATATCATGCAGCTGAATGTAAACCCGGATTCTAACGACACCATCATTTCAATGCTCGAGAACACTGGTAACATCCGTATATCTTTGATTTTTTTTTTTTTTTGTCATGAAGAAATTCAAATGATTCTGAAGAGTTACTCATTGCAGATGTTCAAATTCACTGGCGCAACAAAGGTATGTTATCGATCAGCTTGATCAAGAGAAAGGATGATGATGGTATCGAAGTGCGTGCACTATACAAGGTGAGTTTCTCACTTTGAAACCCCACTTATAAATCTCGGCAAAGGCAATAATCTTACTATAAATCTATATCAATAAAACCATCAACGATCATTTTTCAGGTGGATGTGGCAAGATCAGAGAATTCCACAGATGGAATACTCATCACTCTCCCTGCTACTGGTGAGCTACTACTTATCAACCCTGTTATAGACTAGGGCTCTGTTTCTTTGGCTTAACGTATCTGAGTGAGATTATATATATAAACTGTTTTCTGCAGGCCAAGGCGTAGAGATTAATGCCTCATACGACACGTACGAGCGAATCCCTGGTGACTCCGGCTAAAGACGACACCCTAAAGATGATCTTTTTTTTTTTTATAGCAGTACAAATGACGTTCTGGGTACTGTTTGCAGCAGGAATCTGTAAGACTTTTGGCCAACAAAGACATGCCTATGGGCAATTAAAAGAAATTTTGGTATAGGGCAGCATTTTTCTTTAAATATTGTATTAATTTTGAAATGTGGATTTGAGTCTATATGTAAATTTATAAATTAGATTTATTATTAAAGAGTTAAGGTACAAGAAAAATTAAGGTGGGGGTATTGGATAATTGATTTTAAGAGAATACAAAAGAATTAGAAAACAATTGATTTTGAAGTAATTTAAAGTTTTTGTTGAGAATTTAAATCAATTCTATCAAAATAACAGTAAAAATGGTAAAAATTGGTTCTTTACAAAATTTCATTGTAATTCTATTAAATTCATTTAAAATGACAATAGCATAAGAAGAACACTAAAATTGAATAACACCAGTAATTAATAGAATTAGAAAATCACTACATTGAATAACACTAGAATTTAAAGTAATTTAAAAAAATGATTTCAAATATTGAATCCAATAATACATGAATTTAAAAGAATTTGTGAAATACAATATTGTATAACAATGAAATGTAATAGAAAACCTAATTCCTTCTAATTCAATTAAATTCCTTAATTGAATACCTCCCCCTAAGTCATGCAATTTTTTTTTTTTTTTTTTACTTCTAAACATTGAGAAATTTATTAGTATAATTTTTTTTAATGTTTCTCTAAAAATTATTTCGAATTAAGGTAAAATTATTCGTTTTTGTTTTTCTTCTTAATTATTTTATTATTTTTAAATAGTTTAATTTATAAATAGACGAAAAGTAGTAAACAATTTTGTAGAAAAAGAAAGTAAAAATGAAATCTTGAAACTATAATTTAGTTTGGTTTTTATTTTATTGTTTTTACTTAATAACAATTATATATTATTATAATTTTTTTTAAATGAGAGTATTTTTTTATTCGTTTCTAAAAACTATTAAGGCTAGCACGGGCTCTGAACAAAAGCTTAAATCCTCATAATTTGCCTTTAATTAAATTGCACGTTTGTGAAATCTTTAGAAAATTTTGTCTTTGACTCCTTGGTGTCATAATTTTGATATTAAAATATTATTGTTGTAATATTGGTTAATGTGTATGATAGAATTGAACTAGATTAGAATTTGCATCAGCCATCAGAAAATTAAAGTTGCTCACAAAATTAATACTACTATTATTGTATCATAGTTTATCAAATTTGACACAATGCAATATCTCAATAATGTTGCTATGCATATAGCAATTAGCAAGCGCGTGCGTTGTACTTGTAATTTAAGATGGTTCCGTAATTATGCATTGCAAAACGACGACGTATAGAAGTACTCTCTTCATTCTCATCCTCATCCTCCTAGTGCATGGATACATATGGATTCAACTGCAGCACTGTAAATCCTCGTTTTTTATTAGGTAATAATATTCTTGATTCATCAATAAGAAATGATTTTGTTTGCTGTCAAAAGAAAGAAGGAAAAAATGGATTGGACATACAAAAATGTTGCCATAATTGACATGATAATTATGATCTGTTGCGATCGTGAGCATATATGATATATGGGCTTATAAAAATGTGGCCCATTCAGTTCAACGAAATAACACGTGGCGAAATATAAATGGAGAGGAAGGATGTTACAGAAACGAAGCAATAACGGAGAGAGAAACCAGGATCTATCATCATAGTGCTTTGCTTCTCTTCGTCTCGCAGAGAGACTCTCACATACACAAACCGTAGCTTCTGACCTCCAGATCTGCTCACTTTCTTCTTCTTCTTCTTCTGTGGAATCGCCATGGCTATGAATTTTCGGAGCAGAAGGCAAATTTTTGGATCTGTGATTGCCGCGATTCTTCTGATCTTCATCCATAGTGCTCACTCTTTCTACCTCCCAGGTGTCGCTCCTCAGGATTTCGAAAAGGTAACGTTTCAATTTATTATCTTATCTCTTGGGATCTGATTTGGATCTCTCGGATCTGCTTTAGAATCCTTGTGCTGATGCACCGACAAATTTTGATTTTCTTAAAATAATTCTCTAGAGGATGTGTATAATTTGGCTGCTGTGGAACAATTTACTCACTTTCTTCTCGAATTCGTAATTCTTTTGATCTGTACAATGTCACAATTCAAAAGAAGCTTCATCAATATTTAACTATTCGGGAATAGCTTTTGCCGTTGCAGATTAGTTTATCTATTTGTCATGATTAGCTTTCTCACTGCACAAAATAAAGTTGCAGGGTATCTCCGTAAAATTTTGCATGCATGTTTGATTAGAATCTTGGAAATTTGCAATTTTTTTCTGGGTAATAACGTAATACCAAAAGATCCAAGGTGGGTGATGATTCAAGTGTTGATCTTATATTCTGGTCTCTCCTAATCTGCAGGGCGATGAGCTGAAGGTGAAAGTAAACAAGTTGACCTCCATAAAGACTCAACTTCCTTACTCTTACTACTCTCTTCCTTTCTGCCGCCCTAAGAAGATAGTGGACAGTACTGAGAATCTTGGTGAAGTGCTTCGTGGTGACCGGATCGAAAATGCCCCTTATTCGGTATGCATCTCTGTTTTGGTTGAATTTGAGTAATTCGTTTTTACTTTACCCCCCTGACACTTGCAAAGTTGGAATAATGCAGTTTAAAATGCGGGAGGCACAAATGTGCAATGTTCTCGGCCGTATCACGCTTGATGCAAAGTCCGCCAAGCAATTCAAAGAGAAGATTGATGATGAGTATCGGGTCAACATGTAGGACCTAAAATATGAGCTTTTCTTTTGACTTGTTTCATATGAATGGCTTTGTTACCCCTCTGTTATTTATTTATTTATCATGTGTGTTAGGATCCTCGATAACCTTCCTCTAGTGGTTCCAATCGAAAGGCTTGATCAGGGTTCTCCTTCAATTGTGTATCAGCTCGGCTATCATGTCGGTCTCAAAGGCCAGTATGAGGGGGTAAGTAGGTTTGGATTCCTTCACTATCTGCAGTGCACGTGATAGTATGATTTTCTAAGTTGCCCTTTGGATTTTACAGAGCAAAGAACAAAAGTACTTTATGCACAATCACTTGGCATTCACTGTCCGGTATCACAGAGATTCGCAAACCGATGCTGCAAGGATTGTTGGATTTGAGGTCAAACCATACAGGTGAAAATTCTGGTTACCAAATTTGAACTCTTGGGATCTCCTCTGTTGTCAGTACTAATCGTCCTTTATTTGATATGTTTAGTGTCAAGCATGAATACGAGGGAAAATGGAGTGAGAAGACCCGTTTGACTACCTGTGATCCTCACACCAAGCGCCTGGTTGTTAGCTCATCTACCCCTCAAGAAGTCGACAATAAGAAGGAAATTATCTTCACATATGATGTTGATTTTCAGGCAAGTTCTTGTTCGATTTATCAGTTTATCAATTGATAGTTATGTGCTAGTGAGATGTTCCCGTTCTCACTATTTTGTTCATTTCGCCACTGCTGTCTCTTTAGGAAAGTGAAGTGAAGTGGGCGTCTAGATGGGATGCTTATCTTCTGATGAGCGACAATCAGATTCACTGGTTCTCTATCGTCAACTCTCTGATGATCGTCCTCTTCCTCTCTGGTATGGTGGCGATGATAATGCTGAGGACCCTTTACCGCGACATTTCACGGTACAACGAGCTTGAGACTCAAGAAGAAGCTCAAGAAGAGACAGGGTGGAAACTTGTCCACGGCGATGTGTTCAGGCCTCCAGGCAATTCGGATCTTCTCTGCGTCTATGTTGGCACAGGTGTCCAGTGTTTAGGCATGGTACTTGTCACCATGATCTTCGCCATGCTCGGATTCCTATCACCTTCCAATCGTGGAGGTCTTATGACAGCCATGCTCCTCCTCTGGGTCTTCATGGGTCTCTTTGCCGGTTACGCCTCTTCACGTCTCTACAAAATGTTCAAAGGAACAGAATGGAAGAGGATTGCCTTCAGAACAGCCTTCTTGTTCCCCGCAGTCGTCTCATCCATCTTCTTTGTCCTAAACGCTCTCATCTGGGGACAAAAATCATCTGGAGCTGTTCCCTTCGGGACAATGTTTGCTCTGATTTTCCTCTGGTTTGGAATCTCTGTCCCTCTTGTCTTTGTTGGCGGTTACTTCGGATTCAAGAAGCCAGCGCTGGATGATCCCGTGAAAACCAACAAAATCCCAAGGCAAATCCCGGAGCAGGCTTGGTACATGAACCCGGTTTTCTCAATCCTCATTGGAGGAATATTACCGTTCGGTGCAGTCTTCATCGAGCTCTTCTTCATCCTCACATCCATCTGGCTCAACCAGTTCTACTACATATTCGGTTTCCTCTTCCTCGTGTTCGTGATCCTCATGGTCACATGCGCCGAGATAACCATTGTTCTATGCTACTTCCAGCTTTGCAGTGAAGACTATCTCTGGTGGTGGAGGTCTTACCTCACCTCAGGTTCTTCTGCGCTCTATCTCTTTCTCTATGCGGCCTTCTATTTCTTCACGAAGCTCCAGATCACTAAGCTCGTCTCGGCCATGCTCTACTTCGGGTACATGCTCATCGCTTCCTATGCGTTTTTCGTGCTGACCGGAACAATCGGATTCTATGCTTGTCTCTGGTTCACAAGGCTCATCTATTCCTCGGTTAAGATCGACTGATTCAGAAACATTGAAGAAACAGAGAGAAAAAAGAAGGTAAAATATAGTTTTATGATTTTTCACAAGTTTTTAAAAGCTTTTTGTTTTTTTTTTTTGTTCAATAGGGTCCTCTCTTGTTTCGATCTGGTTTTGGTTACAGTAACAAAAGAAGGGTTTTGATATGTAAAACCTTTTTTATTAGAGTGTATTCTGTTTGATTTCCCAAGTGACACTTTGGATTATTTTTTTCTGGATGACACAATATGTGATTCTTTCATTTCTATTTATACTCTCTTTAAGGAGTGTCTTGATTTCGGTAATCCCCGTTTCTTCCGTTTCATTGTTGGACAGGACACCAAGCAAATTTGGTTTCGCTCACAACATCCGTACACTCAAATTATAAACGTTCCTTTGAAATTCTGTCTCGGACCGTTAATTAAAATTTGGTTTTATATCTAAATTCTTGGAATCCGAGTCCCACTGTTACAGAGACCCTGTAAGGACTTGACCGTTTTAAATAAACCGTTGGGAGCAGCAGCAAACACCATTTACTTCCAACGGCTACTTTTCTGCTCTATATATACAGACTCAATCATTCACAACAGAGCCCAAATAAGCCACAACACTCTCTCTCCCTCCTTTTCTCTCTCTCTTACACAACGTAATCCTAATGGCTCAGAAAACTCTTGTTGGGGCTTCCTCTCTATTCTTCTTCTTGTTGTTGGCTGATCTCGCATCTTGCAAAGAGATTCTGGTCGGAGGCAAACCCAGCGCCTGGAAAATCCCTTCTTCGCCTTCTGATTCACTCAACAAATGGGCTGAGAGTTTGCGATTTCACGTCGGTGATTCTCTCGGTGAGTTTTTTCTTCCCTCAATTCAAATCCAAACTCAGGTCTCCCCTTTTCGACTTTAAAACGTTTTCTAAACTCTTGTGCGTTTGTTGGCAGTGTGGAAGTACGATGGAGAAAAGGACTCTGTTCTGCAAGTGACCAAAGATGCCTACATCAACTGCAACACCACAAACCCTGCAGCTAATTACAGCAATGGAGACACCAAGGTGAAGCTAGAGAGATCTGGTCCTTTCTTCTTCATCAGCGGCTCCAAAAGCAACTGTGTCGAAGGCGAGAAGCTTCACATTGTCGTCATGTCCTCTCGTGGTGGCCACACCGGTGGTTTCTTCACCGGCTCTGCTCCTTCTCCGGCACCTTCTCCGGCTCTTTTGGGAGCTCCAGCTGTTCCTCCTGCCACCGGTTCTGCTTTTTCATTGACCTGTCGAATTGGGGTTTTGGGGTTTGTTGGACTGGCGATCATGTTGCTCTGATTTTACAAGACTTTGTTTTACTTAGATTCTTCAATCTCTCTGCTTTTGATTCTTTTTATCCATGAGATTTGTTTAATTCTTTTGGGACAATGGTGTATCTCCGAATATATTAGACAAACTTTAAGATCTTCTGAGATCAGTTGCTAAAGACAATGCAATCTACAGCATGCACCAATCCTAACTAGAGGTACAAAAAAAAGATAACATTAAAGACGTGTTGAGAAAACCAACTTCTCTCGGAAAAACGATGGTGATGATGATGACCGCCACAAACACAATCCAAAAAGCAGCTGCAAAAAGATGAAGAAGAAAGAGTTAAAGGACCGAGTTTTGCAAATAAGTGACTAACAGAACTGAAATGAATAATACTGAATAATCTCAAGCCTTAAGGGGACATCCTGGATCTAATTCTGTCAGGAGAACATTTCCATGACTATCAGCGAAGAACTAAGATTATACAATCAGGAGAAGCAAACAACAACAAAAATTATACTATCCGGAGAAGCAAATACGTTTTTTCAAAAGAACAACTCATCAAGAGGCGACAGTTTTCAAAAGAAACAGTGTTTTGGGATAACATTTTCTATCTATAAGAAAGTATCTGTTTTTTTCCTGGATCTACTTTAAATCCACAATCATTTTCCCTATAAATCATAAATGAATAAATAAATGGCACAATGTATGTCAATTTTGGAGGCTTGCTTTCCCGAGTCAGAGATAATAAGAAGGGCATTTATAACTTATCCAAGAGAACATTACCATGATATATGGTAAATCAGGCTGAAGCAATTTCAAAATCATCTGAACCATCAGCTGCCGCCATTAAAGGTCCCTTCAAACCATTTTCATTGTCACCATTAAGCTCACGAGCTGCCTTTTCAAGAAATTCCTTTGCAGCAGACCGAACAGACTGTTTCTCACTTGATTGTAATTTCCTCTTTTTCGCACTTGTTTCCGAATACCTGATCCTTGTTTTCTCTCCTTTACTGAGGTCTCTAATGTTTTGCCTTTGGGCTACATTCATTGAGCAACAACTGTTAGAGAAACATGGATATAAAGGAAAAGGCAAAAGGTAGGAAACAAAAACTGTATAAAAGCTTACTCGATGTAAGATCAGGCAGAGAGTGCTCGATGAAACGTGTTGCTGCCTGACGGTTTAAGACAGTTGTCGGACGCAATGGTTCTACGATTAAAAAAGAAAAGGATAAAAAGAGACGTATAGGAGATCATCTGGTGGATAAGACAATGAATTAAAAAGGTAGCAAGCAATTCAATTCAGCCTCTATCAAAATCCTTAACTTCATCTAGACAAGTCAAACATCGACTCCTGGCAGAAATGGAAGACGGAAGAATGCGAATATAATAAACCAATGAAACCAAAACCAAGTGTTGTGCATGAAATAAACACTTTTGATTCACTAAGTAGAACTAATCGGCCCATTAGAACTAGATAACAACTCGATAAAACGGATTTTCTACGAAAGGCCCACAAGGCATTCCATAAAACGCAGCGCAGAAATCGTCATAAAAACCTGCAATTAGCTACCAGTGAATCCTAATCATACAAGTTTATACATGGAAGTGCATCCTGTCAAAAACAAAGTTGAAATATTGATCCATTTAATCATAAAAACCATTAAACGGAAAAGCGAAAAGGGATAAAAAAAAGAGAAGATAAAAAAAACAGACCAGTCTCTTTGATTCCAATAGACTAAATGGTGTTCCAAAATGGTAATTAACAGTTTCGTTTAGAAGCAATTGGGACATAATCTCCCTTAACTTTAGAATGATAGGTAGATGAAATAGTCAAAGTGACGACAGAACAATGCAATAGGCGCGAGACATAATGATAAGCCTTCCAATGGAAACACCACTTCAGTAAACAAAGTTGAAATATTACTCCCCTGCATTTAAGATGGGCGCATGCAATTATATCTACCAGGAGTTGTAATGAACAGTTTTATGTCAAAAGGAAACTAACAAACACAGATACTCGGATACATAATCCAACAAGTAAAAGGTCAGAAATGCAAGTCAGAAAACTTGTTCCGTTCATAGAGACAACACAATCACCAATTCCAAGTGAAATAAATGGTTTTTTTAAAACCAGAGAAACATACTAACTTGTCCAATTCAACAGTCAGAGCAAACAAGTTTGTATTTTTTAATCTATCTAACAAATCAGAACAGGCACAGGGAAATCAATCTTTACCTTTACTTCGACACATACACCGCTGAAACTTCTCTCTGTACACGTTAAGCCTCTCCTGAAAAACAATACTACCCATCAATAAAACAGCCAAAGATAATACCTTCTGAATTGCATTTGCAAACGTATGGAGTCTACAAACACCAATTGATTAAGCTAACAAGATAATAAGAGACAAAAAGTATTTCACAAAACGAAATGAATAGCCAAAGACGATGAATTTACACATACAATTTCAGATTTCACACGATGATCATCGGGATTAACACCAGTGCATCTCAGCCTCACTGGAAACAAAGCCACAGATAGATTATCACAGATGAACAAAGCTCAATCCCATAGCTTTCTTTTCAATGGAAACATGTTTAATAAGAAGAAGAAAGAGGGTTACGTTCGAAAATTGTTGTGGTGGCTTGGGCGAGCAAGTTCATAGTCTTAGCTCGCTTCAATGGCTGCATTAGGGCGAGAACCTCCGGCTCAGCTAAAGACAGCATCTGCTCGAGCTGCGGTTTCAGCTCGTCGAGGTAGCCCAGCGTTTGTTTCACAGCCTCAATCGCTGATTCCGGAACCACTCCCGCGGCGGCGCTACTACTTCCTCCACCTCCTTCCATTTTTAATCGACCGAGAATCGAAAACTAAAGACTCTGATAGAGCTGAAGAACAGCTCGGCGGCGGCGGTTTACCGGTAAGAGTTAGGTTTCCGGTTGGATTCTCTGTCGCAGACAATTTGCTGAAAGATAATTTATGCAGAAACGAAGAGGCGCTATGCAATTCGGGAAGAATGACGTCAGCATTATTAAGAAGATATTGTCAAAGTTAGTCAAACGTGGGCCGTTAAAGGCCCAAAGCAAAAGTCAGCCGCATGAATGAAATTTTAAAACGACAGTATTACTCAAATAAATAATTTGAAATTCCACAAATTCGTACAAGAGAACCGAAAATATTTGATTGTAAAATTATTATGTGGTTTATCCTAATTTTTTCCTTGTATCGTTTTGACTTATTATGAGCTCGGGCTGTTTTCTCCTCGAGCCCTAGGTTCCTGATCGTTCGTCACCCTTCTCGATTCCTCGAACCCTAGTTCTGAATCAGAGTCCGAAATCTCCATAGCTTTCTACTTTGATCTTTCTCAATCCGCAGTTTTTTCGAATCGAAACTAGTTTTGTTGTCGACGAACAAAGGGTTTTAGCGCGGCTATAAGTTTCCCGAATCATCTTTTCCCCGAGAAGTTGGATGCTGCAAAATGAGTTCATTCTCGATCACTCGAAAGAAAACGCCATTCCAGAAACACAGAGAAGAAGAAGAAGCCAGGAAGAAGGTTCGTTTTTTTTTGCTTGTTGGTTAGCTATTTCGAAATCCAAATAAGATGTTCCTTTTCATGAAACTATTGAGTTGAGATTTCAATCAAGGGCAGCAAAGTTTCTGGTTTTATCGCTATTGTGGGTAGAATTTGTTCCGTGGAGATTGATAATCGAGTGTTTTCCCCATCTTAACGCAGAAAGCAGAGGATGAAACGGCTCGTCTGTATCAGGAATTCGTGGAATCGTTTCAAGGAGACAATTCAACTAAGACTTTTGTTCGAGGTGGGACAATTAATCCCGGCGACAAGCCCAAGGTTGATTCTGAAGGTTAGTCTCGGAAATGCTACAGCTTTAGCTCTTGTAAACCTGCCTCTTTGTGTGTCCACTGTTCTTTGTTCTTCCTTTGATGGTGTCAAATGGTAGATCGACGCTTTAATTATATTGGGAACACATTAATAAGAGTATGGACCTTTTTTTCTATGCATTCGCGGATGGCAGGTGAAAAGTCCAAAGATGGGGGTTCGGTTTCAAAGAAGGGCAGTAGGTAAACTGATTGCTTTTTGATTGATCAATCTTGCGGTGCTACGAATTTTATAGCAAATCCATCGGTCGTGATTTTTCTGATGACTATACACTTTTGAATACCATTTATCTTGTGTGATTTTATAAATCTGCTATCTGTATATAGATCTAGCTGAGGTCATACATTGATGTCATCTGTATTGGTAAAAGTTGTGGGTCTTAGGCATGATGTTCTTACGCATTGCTTGATAAGTTGAAATGCATGCGTCTGTTCTTGTGATATAGAAAATTATCTTCCACGTATTCTCTGCAGGTATGTTCCCTCTTTTCTTCCACCACCAATGGCATCTAAGGGTAAAGAACCAGAGAAGAAGGTCAGTACCTTGGATTTTGTCACTGTATTTATTCTGTTATTTGGGTTTAAGCAATGATTTAGCTGTAAGTTCGTTTGTTTCATCTTTTTAGAGGGAGGAAGAGAGGACTAAGGAGCGAGAAAAGGGAAAGACTCGAAACATAGATAATTTCATGGAGGAGCTGAAACGTGAACAAGAAATGAGAGAAAGACGAAACCAGGATCGTGATCGTCAGGGCGATAATTCGGTTAGTTCATCATAGTCTTGCACTCTCTTCATCGGTGTTCTGCTCTCAGATTAACCCTGCGCTGCTATTTTGGAAAGATATGCGCCGCTTTCTGTACTAAACTTATCCTGTCTTCAGCCATCAAGCCGCTTTGATGAGCTAGCTGATGATTTTGATCCCAGTGGAAGGCTAGGATCGTTTGACGATGGTGACCCACAAACTACGAATCTATATGTTGGGAATCTGTCACCAAAGGTGTTTTTTCTTTTCACCATTGAATTTATTTGCTGTTATCGCCCCCTAATGTTTTCTAATTGACTTACCTATAACTATATGATCATTATGCTCACATAGGTTGATGAAAATTTCCTTCTGCGCACTTTTGGAAGATTTGGGCCCATAGCTAGTGTCAAGATTATGTGGCCAAGAACAGAAGAGGAGCGGAGGCGGCAAAGAAACTGTGGCTTTGTTTCCTTCATGAACAGAGCTGATGGTCAAGCTGCAAAAGATGAAATGCAAGGTTAGCTAGCCTGTCTTCTCTCTAGAACTATCTATTGTAGCCTGGGCTGGAATTCATTTGCTAGGCAGGGGAACATGTGTGAATATGATATAAATGCTTTAAATAGATAATTAATACTAGAATCGGTTTTAGGCTCTGTGCCTTTCAGTCGCATATTAGTTCGAATACTTTAGCCCACGTCAGTGTCAAAGAAATTTGCAACCAATATTCAATACAAAGGCATGCATTGGCGTTCAGTATTAGGCACTACTATCGCCTTGTTTAGTACCTTGTCTTTTCTTTCTTCATTGATGCAAATTCCTAGCACTGGTTTATCATGGTTGCAAACTAATGACCCTTCTGGAAATATTGACTAGTCTGTGGTCGACGGGTTTGTATTAAATGAACATCCTAATTGCATGTGACAATTCAATTCATAAGAAACTATAAATACCAATTTTACAGGGATCATCGTGTACGAGTATGAACTGAAGATTGGATGGGGTAAAGCGGTTTCTCTACCATCACAAGCATTACCTGCTCCACCACCTGGACATATGGCTATTCGGAGTAAGGAGGTTTGTGCTGCTCTCGATATACATTTCTTCTTTAATTCTGTTCACTAACCTATGAATGAGCCTGATCACTGATTGTGATTGGTATTTCCTTGCCATTTTGCAAAAAAAAAAATTTGACTGCAACTTTAAAATTTAATATATATTTTCTTTGGCAGGGATGCAACTTGATTTTCTCTGGACAATCGGGTCCACCAATAACTTCTGTTCCAAATCAAAATTCTGAGCTGGTATATAATCTTGGTTCCGCACGACACTCTTATCAGCTACCCTTTTTAAATAATCTTATTCTAAAATGAACACCTCATGCCTTGAATTCCATTCTCAGGTTCTTACCCCTAATGTTCCGGATATCACTGTTGTTACTCCTGAGAACGAGCACCTCAGACATGTGATTGATACAATGGCTCTCTATGTTCTGGATGGTGAATGTGCTTTTGAACAAGCTATCATGGAGAGGGGCCGTGGGAATCCACTATTTAACTTCTTGTTTGAGCTGGGCTCAAAGGAGCATACTTACTACGTCTGGAGACTCTATTCTTTTGCTCAGGTACATTTTGATTGCTTTATAACTAAGAATATCTTAGGTTCTCCTTGAGATTTTCATTGTCATAAGCTGATGAATGTCTTTGCATTGTTTAGGGTGATACACTTCAAAGGTGGAGAACAGAGCCGTATATCATGATAACTGGTAGTGGAAGGTATTAAACCTTGCCAACTGTGAAACTGGTCCCGGTGTTCGGTTTGGTTTACCTTTGCACTTCTATTGTTTTAACACTGTATTTTGCTCTTATTGCAGATGGATACCGCCACCACTGCCTGTAAATAAGAGCCAGGAGCATGACAAAGATTCTGTAGGCACATATGCAGCGGGAAGAAGCAGGGTAATCGTTTTTGCACTCTCACTTCTGATTTATTATCTCCTTTTTTTTCTCTCTTCTTTGTTCTTTAGCATTGCGAGGCACCTTACACTGGTAAATTTTACAGCGTGCGGATGTTGAGAGGACTCTGACCGATCCTCAAAGGGATGAGTTCGAAGACATGTTACGTGCTCTAACTTTAGAAAGGAGACAAATAAAAGAAGCTATGGGCTTTGCATTAGATAATGCAGATGCAGCTGGAGAGGTATTATTTGTTCTGAACTCTATTCGTACATTTAGATTTACAGACGATCCTATGCTTCATAGATAGGCTTCACAAATGTTTGAATCCCTTATTTTAAAAAAAAAAAATTTAAATGTGGGTTCATTGTATGCAGTAGTTAAAGAATGCGTTGTACAACTAATAATATATAGAAAGATAACCTGTTATTGTGCCAAAATCAGATGCTTTTTATTAATTATTTTATCAGATTCCTTTTCTAAACACCTCATAGAATCTCTAACAGAATTACTTGTTAGTAAATACATATTAAGATGCATTTTCGTGCTGTGTATTTATTCCACAGGTTGTTGAAGTTCTGACGGAGTCCCTGACCCTAAAAGAGACATCAATTCCAACTAAAGTTGCTAGACTTATGCTTGTGTCTGATATTCTTCATAATAGCAGTGCACCTGTGAAAAATGCATCTGCATACCGAACCAAGTTCGAGTCAACATTACCTGATATAATGGAAAGCTTCAATGATCTGTACCGGAGCATAACTGGAAGAATTACGGCTGAGGCTCTAAAGGTACTGTTAGAAAGAAAAATAATATTTTCTGGCTTTCTTTGCGTTTGTAAAATGCTGTCGTAAACTTATTCAGACTTTTTGCAGGAACGGGTTCTCAAAGTACTGCAGGTTTGGGCAGATTGGTTTCTCTTTTCAGACGCATACATTTATGGACTACGTGCTACATTTCTCCGATCAGGAATCTCTGGTGTTACCTTATTTCATTCTATCTGCGGCGATGCACCTGAAATAGAGACGAAAGGTTACAATGACAATATGAGCGATATTGGTAAGATCAATCCAGATGCTGCACTGGCAATAGGCAAAGGCGCTGCAAGGCAAGAGCTGATGGATTTGCCAATTTCTGAGCTTGAGAGACGCTGCCGACACAATGGACTGTCTCTTGTAGGGGGAAGAGTAGTGATGGTTGCTCGGCTACTAAGCCTTGAAGACACAGAGAAACAACGTGGCTATGAAGCAGTGGATGAAATTTCAAAGTATCCGCAAG